ATCAGTGGTGCTCCTACAAGACATCCCTGTGGAGAAAAGCTCTGTGTGCTGTGGTAGATGGGCAAAGCTACCTTCCAGGGAAGCTGTTTCTGTTCAGGTTTTGTTCATTTGAAGCCCTCAGAAAATGTCTCTGCTAATTCCCTCCAAGGTTCATGCCTGACCTTGGTTTTCCCAGATGGTTTGCCCATTCTGGTGGCTGCTGTGGATATGCATAGAAGAGGCTTTGTAAGCCTGGCCATGAGGTTTTAATGTTTTCCTGCTGTTGTGTGCTCTGCCTGAGCATTTAGGATGTGGGAATACAACACATCCAGGGGATTGACAGACAGAAGCATTTACTGATGGATTCTTTCCTCTCTAGGCCAAGTGGTGTTTATGAAGTGTTTGTTTAGGGAATACTCTTCATTCTTCCACTGATTCAATTTTCCAGGTGGTTTCTTTAGATCCTCTGGAGCTATTTTTGACTCTGAATTAAGCAGTGGAGCTCTCTGAGACATCAGTATACATGAATTCTCAGCATCCTTTGCTCCTACCTGCAGCAAATGCTTCCCGAAATAGCAGGTGATGCTCTGCAGTGGGAAGTTCCCACTTGAGGCATTGCAGTGGTTTTTTCTGGATGGTCCCAATGGATCAGGCAAAGTGTTTTTCCCTGTCAAATCCTTGGATTTTGTACACAGCTGCATCTCTGCCTCCTGTACTTCCCTTAAGAGCCTCTTTGGTCACCTGGTCTGACTCAGAGTGGTGACCAGTGTCCTGTGCAGGTGGTGAGCAGTGAGGATCCAGGAAATATTGTAGGGATTTTCCTTTCTATGGTTTGGAAGAAAGAATGGCAGTTCCCTCTACAAATGAAGGAAAAATCAGTTTTACATTCCTCCATTCCACAAGTGGTTGGAGCCTTTCAGAACAGGGAACAGAGTCCACCACTCCATGTACTTAGATACCTGGCAGTGGTGCTGAGATCAAAACAGGTGTACAGCCAAGTGCTTGGGAGCTCCAGACAACATGAATGCACAGTCCTGTCCTTTCCTTGGAGCATCCTGACAGCTCCTGCAAGGAATGTTTTGCTCATCAACTTAGTGCCAAGTGACTGAAAGTCTCCCTCAGATACCTAAGATGATGTTTAGGGGGAGTTTACCTGCAGATTCCAAGAGTTTCAAAGCAATTCTCAGCAGGTCCTTCCCATAAAACCCAAACTTCCTTCCCCCTCTGTTTTTCATACATCAAAACATCTATTGCAGCCAGAGAGACATGAGAATTTTTCTCTCTAATTGAAAAAAACCTGGAAGCTTTGGAAAGTGCTGTAACAAATCTGGGGGAATAGACATTGCAGTTCAGATAATTAATTATCCCTTGGTTTGCAGTGGCTGGAAATGGTGATTTAGAGTGAATATTGCTTTAACTGCAAAGAAAAATCCTGTTGGAAGCTGCAGTTGTGATTCATGGAGGAATAATGAGAGGAGTTTGGTTCTGGCTTATAGGAGATTTGGTTTACATGTAGTCAGGGGAAGAGCAGCTGAAATGTTTTGTTGTGAGCTGGGTTGGCACTGGGCAGGGATCAAAAGTAGTGAGTCTGGGATGATTTCCTGTGA